AACAATATTAATGAAGTGTGCACAAAAACCTGATTTTCATCCTAAAACACATGCTGTGCCCCATATGGTCTAAAACATGCAGGTGGGCAAATCTAAGCTTGTTTTTAATAAAACAAATATAAATATGGATATAATAAATAATACTGCTAATAATAATAACATTATACAAAAGCAAATTGTTACGAATGAACTGAAAAATCCTCCCGAGATGAAGAAGACATAAAAGCAGTGATTTTTCATATTTATGTAGGCTAGAAAATAATATGTTTTGTAATATTTTAATCCTATAATAATTTATATCCTATATCTATTCTTATTATATCCTATATATATATATATCCTTAATATTTAATTTTTTTCATATGTAAAGATATTTGCCTATTGCTCTCTTGTGAGTGTTAAGCAGTGTGTAAGCAAGGCGCAACTCTGCGCCGGAGTTTAGACCGGGTTTGTTTTGGTCTAATGAAAAATCTATTATATTTTTTCAGCGGTCAGCGGTCCGCCTCAGAACGCCTTCCTTTTTAGACTAGAACGCTTATGGGCGCACAAATTAGGGCTAATGCATTTGCTATTTAAACAGCGTAGCGCAACGCCTCAAAACGACTCTTGCGCCAAGCTGAAACTACCAAAAGACTATTGCACCGTGCCTTGCGCCACATTGCGCCGGGTGTATGTTAGGGTCCCCCTCATGTTCTTAAAGCGGTCTTAGCAAGCTGTTTAGTGTATGGTTTGGAGATAACGTGGAGTTAAGCAGATGAAATGCTGCCTTTTCTTCTGAGCAGACAACGACAGGAGCTCTCAACTCCCTCTTGTGTGTTACTATAAGTAACTCTGAAAGTAGGCTGCAACCTATTTGCAATCTGAAAAAGGAGAAATAAAGGAATGACTGGCTGTCAAAGGAAAATACTCAGCCCATTGTACACATCTATAGATGCATACATCTCATTCATTGACTTATAACCCTAAAAATGTATTGAACTGGCCCATGATCTCAGAGGAAGAGACGTTTTGTATCCGCAAAAGCACAGAGCAGCATTGCCCCAGATACAGCCGCAAATCTGTGTCAGATCCAGAGTTGGCCACAAATCCCTCTCCTTTCCTCCTACTGGACAAAAGTCAGCTCGACATCTGGGTGACTTTCAGCCAGCCTACATAATGCGTCTGGCCTTCGCATATACAGTAATCCAGCCTGGGTTCATGTTGTCAGATTCACACATGCATGCTGATAGGACGCAAATTGATCTGCACATATGTGTCGTTTCATGATACAGGGTTTCTGCAGATATCATAATGTCAAATTTAAGACTGTTTAAGATCTTTTTAAGACCATTAAGTATTAATTTTAAGACCTAAATGACATTATCAAAAACACGCATAAGCATAAAGAGAAAATGCAAAACTCACAAAATGAGTGGCAAAATAAATGTATTGAAATTGAACAGTACTAAAGACAGGTTAGATGCACCATTTGACTACAGAAAAAACAAACAAACATCTTAAGGCTGATTTATAGCTTCACCTTGAGGTGCATCATGCACTCCACTGACTGCGCGCACACTTCAAACAGACGAGGCTCTTTAAAACGACAAGCAGCGGTCAAAAGAAACCCACCGTAAACTCAGAAAGATAAACATAGAAGTAGGAAATTTCTGGAACTACGTCATATATATCATTATTATCATTCAATATTTTTAAGCTAATTATTTTTAAAAATTTGTTTATAATTTATTATAATGATTATAAAGATTTTTATAACCATTCGAGCTTTTTCAAATCAAACTTTGATGCATCACTTGCTTTTGTTCATATCTCGGACAGTTCTACCAATTAAAGTTAAATATTAATGACAACAAAACATGGGTTGCTCTCCAGTTCTACTTTTTATTATGGCAAGAATTAAAAAGAAGGCGAGGGAGTGGCGCAGTAGGTAGTGCTGATATGGGTTGCAACTGAAATCTGCAGGAAGGCGGCTCTCCAGGAACAGGGTTGGCCACCCCTGATATATAGTCTCATCTGGATATTTCTTTTAAATAAAATTTTTTATAGGATGCTTGACAATGTTTGTGCATGTAGATTAGATTAGACAGTAGGGCTAATCTATCAAAATATCTTGCGATAACTATCCAAAAAATAGTTCACTTAAATTCATATGTTAGGGAAAAAATATTAAATGAAAATTAGTTAAAAAAAAAAAGAGGAATTTTTATATATTTTTTTTAATTTCTAAAGATGTTCGGTGACTAAAATATAATTTTAATAAATATAACCATTTCATATAATTATTTTGTTCATTCATTCATTCAAACATTTTCTTTTCCACAGTGGAATGAACCGCAAACTTATTTAGCATATGAGCAATTCCATGAAAATGTCAACCTTGCCATGAAAAGAAAAATGTTTTCACCAAAATAGCGAAACCGTTTCTACATTTTTTGCGCAGGCAAGTGTTTTACAGTACTTTAAAAATACTTAAAAATGTCGCTGTCAATGTTTTCAAACTATTATATTTGATTTACCAAAGTCAAACAAATGACAATTTCACATCCGTCACATCCATAACGAAAAAGTGTCACATCCTAACAAAGCTTTTCCCTCAAAAATGCAAAAATGTCAAAATAAAATAAAATCAATCAGTTTTGTTCTATAAAGAGCCAACTATTATCCTTTTGTTGAGCATTATTTATTTTGGGTTGTGCAGTTTAATTCACAGAATTTCTACGAAATATGTTGTATACTGTAAACTCACAGACTTTTTTTGTCACATCCATAACGCTTGTTTATTTTCCTCATTTAAAGTATAAAAATGTTCACAGATTGAATTTTTTTGATCCCATAACTCTGTGGTTAGTTGTTTTGGAAAATATAAACAGATGGTTCAATATAATGTTAACGTATACTTTCTCTGCGAATTTATGTTTTGAATTTTTACTGCAAATGTCACATCCATAACGCTGGAATCAGCCATATGTTTTACACAGTGGATGCCCTTCCAGCTGCAACCCATCACTGTGAAACATCCATGCGCGCTTACATTTACACTCAAACACTACGGCCAATTTTAGCTTATTCAATTCACCTATAGCACATGTGCTTGGAAACCGGAGCACCCGGAGGAAACCCACGCACACACAGGGAGAACATGCAAACTCCACACAGAAATGCCAACTGACCCCGATGGGGCTCGAACCAGTGACCATCTTTCTGTGAGGCAAACGTGCTACCCACTGCGCCACCGTGACACCATTTATTTTGTTCAAATGCACCAAAATATATAACTTATATTCAGGGCCGTGCACAGGGGGGTGGTGAGGTGGCTAGAGCCACTGCCCCTCTGCCCTTTGCGATCCCCCCCCCACTTCTTCAATTTTGTAATCGCTCCCTCACCAGGGTCTGTGCACGGGCCTGCTTATATTCGCTGAGAAATTAATAAAGATATTCATGCATAAACAGCTGAGCACTGTATATTGTGATAGGAAAGTTTTGTCAGCCACTTAGCTTTACCCTATACTGCTATTTATGCATGTTCTCTCAAATATTCTAGCTGTAATAATTCATTCTACTGTGATAAAATCACTATTCACGTCTACAAAAATGTAAATTTCACTAATAATTTTCGACAAAAAAAATTTACATTTCCCTAATAAATTGTTCTTTGAAGTACAGTGAGACTCCAGGTCTATAATTTAAAGTGTTAACATACTTTCTAATAAGATACAAGAAGATCACCAGGATTATTTTACAAAACCTTACATTTAAAAAAAGATGTTAGCGCTTCTATATTTCAATTCAAATTGATAAGAAATTACATTAAGATTTCTTGTCAAGTTGTTGCCATTAAATTGGATTAACAAAACGGGTGTTTAGATTTTATTAACATAGTGTGTACTTTCCAACTAAAATGTTTTATATAATATTATTATGATAATTCTTGAAATTTTAATTCTTTTTAAAATGATTCCCAAGTGAGGTTTAACAGAGCAAGGACATTTTTGCACAGTATTTCATTTTACATTATTCTTTCAGAGAAAGACGTGTTTATTTTAGTTTGGCTGATATTAAAATAATACCTTTAAGATGAATACTAACAGCCTATCTCGCAAAACTAGTGAAATAGTATGTAATCATAGCAATAACAGAACTAAATAATTGTTAGAAATTTTGTCATTATAACCATGTAGAAAAATGTGTTGAAATCAAATCTTTCCGATAATCAATAGCGAAATATTTGAAAAAGAATTACATTTCATAAGCAGTGTAATTTTGTCATTAAAGGCCTATATGTAAAATAATAATAATAATAAATAAACGGAATAATCTATTCTGACAGATGATTATCTGACAATATATTCAAATCGAAAGAAAATAGAGATTTAAACTGTATGCAAATGAAGCCGCACTTTTTTTTTAAGTTATCGCATCCTGGAAATGTTTCATGAGCAGAACATAATGCTCATCGCTTCAGTCGGTTTCTCTTGAGAGCTGAAAGTGTTTTTCAGAGACAACGCTCTATATTTTTCTGAACCGAGATGAGAAGAGCCCATATCGAGATTAAGGGCGATTATAAATTTAATCTCCTGCAGTGAATTCATGCGAGTGTCATTGTAACTAATGATTTCTAATATGACAAGCTAAAGAAACTCTGACGGACACAAGCAAACAAACAAATACAGCAACTCAACTCGACACCGTCTGCGTTTCAATTACACTAATTGACAGCATTACTAGTCAACAATCTGTTTTCCTTCACAAACCACAAACAATGTAGTTTATATAAAAGATGATGACTACATACTCATTCAAAAACACATTAACTATTAGCATGTCTTTCGCCACGTAACTGTTAAACGTAATATACTTGCACATTCTTACGCTTTTAATATTAATACAAAGCATATCGTAAATAATACAGTATCTAAAATCCGGATTAACACAAAAATAGACATTATGACTGCCCTCAGATTTAATACGAATGTAAATATAATGGCAGGTAGGCTACTCACATGCTGATGTAAATCATTGAGGAGGAAAGTTGATGTGATTTCTGCCATTCGTTTGCTCTTTGACTGAGCAGGTGGAGCGAAACACCGTCATATCAAGCGATGCGTGACGTTGAACACAAGGTGTAATATTAACGCAAATCTTTCCTCTTGAAGACTGAGTGACCACAAGATGGCGCCGCTACAGTGCAAAACGTTTATTGAAATCAGCATCGCAAGTAAAACAGCTCACCTTTACGGTTTGAATCAAGGGCACATTATATAATGGTGACAGAAATATTAGACACATTTTATTTACAAATGTACTTTTTACAATAGTTACAGAAGCAGAACAAGTAAACATACATTTCAGTGAACAGAAGTTTGAGGGAAATTGTTCAGCCCAAAAGTGACATTTCTGTCATTATTTAATAACTCTTTTATTTGATTCAAACCTTTAAGAGTTCCTTTCTTCTGTTAAACACAAAGGAATATATTTTGAAGTTAAAAACCTGCAACCGTTGACTTTCAAAGTATTTCCCTACTTAAAAATCCAGCTTAAACCAGCCTAGGCTGGTTGGCTGGTTTTAGTTGGTTGACCAGCCTGGTTTTAGAGGGGTGTTGGCCATTTCCAGGCTGGTTTTCAGCCATTTACAGCCTGGTCTTAGCTGGTCAGGCTGAAAAATGACCAGCTTAATCCAGCTAAAACCAGCTTGACCAGCCTGGTTTAAGCTGGACATAGCTGGTTTTGGCTGGGCTCTCAGCCTGGCTAGGGTGGTCAAGCTGGTTTTAGCAGGTCATTTTTCAGCCTGACCAGCTAAGACCAGGCTGGAAATAGCTGGAAACCAGCCTGTAAATGGCACAAACCCCTCTAAAACCAGCCTCATCAACCAGCTAAAACCAGCCAACCAGCCTAGGCTGGTTTAAGCTGGATTTTTCAGCAGGGTTGTTTTTCATCTTATGGAAGTCAATGATTGGTTTTCAGCTTTCTTAAATATATCTTCTTTTGTGTTTAACAAAACGAGGAAACATAAAGGTTTGGAACCACTTGAGGGACAAAAAACAGTGCAGAAATGTTCAATTTTGTGTGAACTATCCCTTTAATAAAAAACTCATACAAGTTACAGAATAAGCCTCTGCATATTCCCCTGCAATTCAGATAGAAGCATGTAAAAGTAAATAAATCAGTTCTTTCGCATCTTTTAAAAGCTTAAAATGGGATCAAAAGGCACATTTCCAGTCATCCACGTAGGCCTGCGGATTGCAAATGAAGTCCCGTAAATATGTCAGGCAGTGGAAAAGCTTTCGCAAGCAAGATTAGGTCTTCTTGGTGTGTTTGGTATGAAAAATGTCAACTGTAGTCTCATGACACTCTCTCAAATCATAGTCACAGTATCCAACAGAGAAGCGACCCTTAAAAAGAGAGCGAGAGAGAAAATGATGTCTTTAATTTGTGGTCCGACTTCATATTAAATGCCTTTAAATACTATGTACTTACATTTAACTCTCTACCGCACACATTATGATAAATCTATTAAAAAATAAATATATATTACTTTTTCTTTTCTTAAAATGGCTTAACTTGAAGCGCTGTAAACATTTTTTGGAAAAACTTATTTATTAAGGTACTTTATGATATGTTGCCATATGGCAACAATGTCCAACAGTGGATCCAACTTTCCTTATAATTAATAATTTTGTTGTTTAAAATTATTTAATTGGTGTTGCAGTATTAGACGCTTTAACACAGAACTTATAAACGACACCTTACACATACTTTACAACAACTGATATTCCAACAGCTTTCATTTACTACTTTTTGTTGGTAACACTTTACAATAAGGTTCATTAGTTAATGCATTTACTAACATGAACTAATCATGAACAACACATGAACAGCATTTATTAATCATAATTGAACATTTACTAATGCATTATTAACATTTAAGTCCATGCTTGTTAACATTAGTTAATGCACCATGAGTTAACATGAACTAACAATGAACTACTGTATTTTCATTAACTAATGTTAACTAACATGAACAAATACAGTAGTAAATGTATTGTTCATTGTTTGTTCATGTTAGTAAATGCATTAATTAACATTAACCAATGAACCTTATTGTAAAGTGTGACCATTTTTTTAATAAATATTATTAAAAACAAACCTAATATTGTATTATCATATATAACATATAGTAAATATAAATATTTTCTTCAGTAAATATTTTAACAAATAAATAACAAGTCTAGTATATCCAAGTGCATGATGTAGCTACTAGCTAACAATGTTTATGCATATTATACTATATACTATACTACGCCTGCTTATCTGCCTCTGAGCTAACTTACCTGAACTGTCTCTATTAAATGTCCAGTCTGCATCATTCTCAGGGTCACTAAAACCCATCCCATCCTCACTTTCATCTGCAGGATGAGCCAGTTCTGTCCTTTTCTTCTTCCACTTAGCAGAGAACATGGTGGTGCTCGCTAATACACTGTTCCCTATATTGATATCTATTCAAAAGTAGTATCGCCCTTAAAACTAGATTTTATCCATAATGCAAATGCCATTAACACATGACTATTCAACATTATATGCATAATGTTGTTATTGTTATAACTTAAAAGGTCACAGCTGACCTTGCTAGCTAGCTAACCCAATGCAATATTGCATGTTCCTCTATAGGACAGTGTTGCCATTTGGCAAGACATACATTGATCGATTTACAAAAAAAATTTAGTTGTGAATTGTGAATATGTCATCATAACTTACTGGAGGTGATGTTTCAGATTTTTTAGTGGATCTGACATCATTTGACCCTTTGTTTTTATTGAGGTTTACATTTGCGTTTACAGTAGGTGAGAGTTCAAAGTGGCCATTACCGCCGAAGCTTATACCGCCACCGTTTTAAATTGCTGCCGCTCTGTTTTTAGTGTATGACCGCAGTTTGTGAATAAGCCGCCAGGGGGCACAAAAGCGACAGGAGGCGAACAGACAGAAATAGCCTATACAGCAGCTTTAAGTATGCTACTGTGCTTGTAAATGAGATTAAACAATAAGTCAAAGCATTATAATCCCTTCATTAATCATTTAAAATTTGTTAACACGCTTTATTGTAAACTTGTTAAGTGCAAAGAGGATTCGTTTTGGAAAATAGTTTCGAAGAAAAAAAAGACAACTAAAACGAAAGCACAAACATTCAGTACAAATAAGTAGTCTTAAATAAATAAATAAAGCAGTCTTTTAGCCTAAATATAGAGCGATGTTCAGTGTTTGCTATTTTGATAGGACTAGGACAAGACATTTTCATTTATGTTTTCATTTTCGTTTTTATTTACATTTTTGTTGTTGATTATATTTTACTATCTCATTTTATGTCTCAATCATTGTACATAATAATAAACGAATAATGAAAAATAAGTGAATAATGTAAATAGGCCTGTTACATGCCTGGGGTGTTGCTCTGTTGTTCCCTCCTCCCCTTTCTGTTTCTATTTGCTGTCTCCTGTACTTTTGAATTCTAGGTGTTCCGATTGGTTGGCAGAGTTCTCCCGAGTGGAACAATCAGAAGAGGATGGGTGTTATTTAAACGCTCCAGTGATGACTCAGCCCAGATGAGAGGGGGATCCATGTTGCTTGTTGCTGCTGTGTTTTTGTAACTTTTGGTGCCTATTTTGTGCTCGGGTTCACTTTAAAGAGAGTTTTTGTGATTTAAAAATACCTAGAGGGAAGTGAAGGGAAGTATGTCACTTGACTTAGCAGATTTTTTTGTTATTCCACTAGGTTAGAGGCGGGTGCTACCATATATGTATGTTTGTTCCAGTCGGTGCAGTTGAGTAAGGGGCGTGTGACGCTGAAGATGTTTTTTTTCTTATTTACATATTTCTCTTTAGTTATTTAGAGGTGGGGGAGGGATTAGTTAGCGGGTGTTTAATTTGTTATTTTCTTTGATTTGGCACCGCTTATTCTCCTTCCCTCCATCAGGTGTTTTTGTTTACTTTTTGCATTTAATGTACATATTTGTAAATATACTTTGGGTGATTTAAATATTCACTTCTTTATCTTTATTGTAATAAAGTGAACCAGTTTTTTTGCCACATCGTTGTCTGTGTTGATTCATAGCAGTTAACATCTCAGAGGAATTCTTAAAATATTGGGTTGTCATAATTATGTTAAGCCCTTTTTCATCCTCCGAGCCACACGGGGCGTAACAAGGCCTAAATAAGGTAGCAACTACTCACAATAAACGCCCGTCTGTCAGAAATCACGCCACAGAAAAACACAGCACGTCGTGAGACTTAACCTAAGCACACTTTGGCTACTCTGAGGTCTTCTATTCCAAGCAAAAATAATAATGTTGATCTTAAAGAAACAGATGTTCTTATTTGAACATAAGTATCATGTTGCGATATGGTTACAGCGTGCAGTAGAGGGGTAAATTAATCATTTGATAGAATGCACTTATTTTGTACATACATGTTTTTACATTATAATTCCATTTTAAAAATGTAATTTAGTAGTATTTATAGTAATTTACTGTAGTAAATTATTTATAATCACACGTTGACCCATACTTTACATCTTAACCCAGCCACACCACCAAACCTGTTCCTAAAGATACCTATATCCCACATCAATAGCACCACAAGTGTTGTGCAATACAATACGAGTACTTATTTTTTATTAGTCGTACCTAAAAATGAAGGCCACATAATTTAAAGTGTGACTTTATTTGTATTTCAAACAAACATGCACCAATAGTAGGTTCTGTTTTAAATGTTACACAGCTATAAATGTTTAGCGAAAAGCCTGCTAACCTTTGGTTTTTTGAAATAATCGAGTCCCCTGCCGATCTTAATAATCCAACCGTTGTTAAACCTGAAGAAACACAACACAATTTAACACAACCAATGCAGTTCTGTAGGCAAAAGGGGTCCAAACAGGTACTAGCAAACAGTAAAAAGTACAAAAAAATGAGAACAATGTACCTGATCTCTCGGTCATGAATCGTAGAGGAGTACTGAATGTCCAGACAGATATCTTTACTCAATAGCGACTGCTTCATTTCTGCCAGAGCACTGCTTTGTTGAGTGGAGCTGTCCTGGAAAACCACAGGAATGAAGACCCATTCACATCAGGAATTAAAAGTATTAAGTATTTGAATACTGCAATACTTATATTAGCATAAATACCAGTTCATAAAAAGTTCTATTTATTTTATGGCATAAACTTTTTTGCATTTATATTTTGTAGTCATTTTGGATGTTAGCGCAAACTTTTATTAAAGTCTCCACGAAATCAAAACTAGCCATGTGATTTTGTTAGCTCACATTGCCAGTTTTGTGGTGAACACAACATCTGTGCATGTCATCAAAGAGCATACAATCACCAAGAGGCGACATTCTATTGCTATTTGGTAAACAGTCACTAGATGTCGCTAGTGTGACGCGGCGGCCTTTATGGAAATAAAATTCCAATAGAACAGCAACACAGACAAGTAACGTTAGACAGAATAAAAGAAAATATTGAGTTAAATATGAGTTAAAATATTATGTATTCATACACCCTTATTGAAAAGCAACATTTTAAACAATATATTCAATGAAAATATTTTCCAAAACGTTTACAAGACTAAGTTTAATATAATACCTGATTAACTTATGACATGAAAGTAAGATTAACAAAATAACTTCAATTACAATTTTTTTTTTAGTTTTACTTTAATTAGGGTGATGCAAAAATGAGTATACCCCACATTAAAAACTACTTTTTCTAGTTAGTATGGCCTCCATGATTTTTGATGACACCGTAGGACATCTAGGCATGGAATGAACAAGTTGGCTTCATTTTGCAACACCTTAACACCTTAACCTTTTTTTATTCTTCAAAAATAATCTCTCTTTTAGAGTTGCTCAAAAAGATGCTCGACTTAATGTCTCTTCAGAATTCCCCATATGTGTTCAATTGGATTCAGATCAGGAGACATATTTATAATAATATATTAACAATGTGTGTGTGTGTAGGCGTGTGTGTGTATGTGTGTGTGTGTGTGTGTGTGTGATGAACTTACGTCAGAATTCAGTCATTTTGGACAAAGTGGCTTTTTACAAAAAAGCTTTATTAGTCTTTTTTTAACAGGCAACACTGGAAAAATACTCATTCATTCATTTTCTTGTCGGCTTAACGATTTGTACTTCTGCGTCAAACGCAAGCGTATGCTACGACGTTGACGCATAGCCCTACGCCGTGGCCGTCGGCGTCGGTGACGTGCACCTCTCAAAAAATTTAACTACTCGTCGCAACGATGCGTAGCGCAAGCTCTGTGATTGGTCAGCTTGGTAGCATTGATGAGTCTGGGCGGGACAGAAAGCCGCGCGAATGGTGCGAGCCCGATGGAGCGATTGTTTACAAGTGTGGAGTTGATGCACGTCTGCCGGTTCCTGCCTCAAAATGAGCGAGTTTGAGCCACTTGTACATCCAGGAAGTGTTCAGGAAAATCAAAACAGCAGCGAAGAAACTCGACAAAGAGGAACACTAACACCTCAATGCCAACTAGCGTTTCAAAGTGTTAATGCAGACCAACAGAGACAGCACGCAGAAGTAAAAATGCACAGCTACGCGCGTTGCATGCGCCGTGGGTTACGCCAGTCACTTGACGCAGAAGTATAAACCAGTCTTTAGTCCCTTTATTAATCCAGGGTCACCACAGCGGAATGAACCGCCAACTTATCCAGCAAGTTTTTTTTACGCAGCGGATGCCATTCCAGCCGCAACCCATTCCTGGGAAACATACACACACTCATACACTATGGACAATTTAGCCTACCCAATTCACCTGTACCGCATGTCTTTGGACTGTGGGAGGAAACCCACGCGAACGCAGGGAGAACATGCAAACTCCTCACAGAAACACTATTTGAGCCGAGGTTCGAACCAGCGACCCAGCGACCTTCTTGCTGTGAGGCGACAGCACTACCTACTGCGCCACTACGTCGCCTGGAAAAATACAATATTCTATTATAACATATAATATCAACATCCCATGTTGAAAGTCATGTTATTTTAACTTAACATGTCAATATTTATTTATATTATACCAGTGTGTAAACTATTACAATAAAGTCATTTAAAATAATTTCACCTGAAAGTGAGTTCCAAGAAAGTAAGTATGGTTAAAATATAAACAGTCTGTAAAATAAACTATTCAAAGTGCTGATGATTGTGATGTTAGGTGTTGTATTGTCGTCTTTCAGGTTGTATCTCATCTTTAACGCTTTTTAAATTAAAAACAAAGCAGCTGCTAGCCATCGCAACAGCAATAAGATCCAATGGACGGCCGATCGCTTTCACTCAAAAATGGCGGAATCACAGGGCTGTTGCTGCACTGGAACTTTCTATTGAGTGTCGCTTCTTGGTCATTCTAAGCTCTTTGATGTCATTAAGAAAAAAATAGTTTGCCCTTGTAATCTTTAATTGAAATCTAAAAATGCACACCCTGTTTTTTTTTCAGTTAAGTTGTCAGATTACATATACTTTTACAAATGGGCGTGGCTAACATTTAACCATGCCTCTCCAACTGTCAGTTTTGACAACAAACAGATATAGTGAAGATGAGGTGTCTGTTAGCTTGTAATAACTCTCCCCTATCACTTTTCCCCATATTTCTAAATAAAATGCCTACTTTACTACATCCTATCAGCTCGCAGAAGAAAAACAAGCCACGCCCGCTGTTTTCTCCTTAAATATTCCATTTCTCTAGGAGATACGTCACAAAAAAAAAAAAAAAAAGGTTGTATCTTCCAGTTCATGAGGACTTTAAGCTTTATATTAAAACCTCATTTCCTTTCAAGTTTACCTCATCCTGTGAGGTCAGAAGGTGAATGGTCTTCACTGTAGATGGACATTTCAGCAGCATCTCACAGAAACGGAGGAAATTATACAACTGCAAAGCAAAACACTGGTCATTCTAAGCTCCATCACTGCTGTTTCTTCACTCTGTAATAAAGCGTAGTCTGTACCTGATGGACGTGCCGTACATATGGGTCTTCCACCCAGACTTCAGTCAGTCCATCTGTGATGTACGGCTTGAAGAGGGATTCATAGCTGTAACCAGTGGAGCTGTCTGCTATCTTTATCTGCTCGTGGTATTTACCCTCTGACAGTGGAGAAAATCAGAAGAATGGAAAAAGCTGATTAAACCTGAGGTTTTCAGTCATACAGTTGAAGTCAAAATTATTAGCCCCTGTTTATTTTTTCCCCAATTTCTATTTAACGGAGAGAAGATTTTTTTTCAACACATTTCTAAACATAATAGTTTTAGTAACTCATCTCTTATAGCTGATTTATTTTATGTTTGCCATGATGACAGTAAATAATATTTGACTAGATATTTTTCAAGACACTTCTAAACAGCTTAAAGTGACATTTAAAGGCTTAACTAGGTTAATTAGGTTAACTAGGCAGGTTAGGGTAATTAGGCAAGTTATTGTATAACGATGGTTTGTTCTGTAGACTATCAGAAAAAAATAGCTAAAAGGGGCTAATAATTTTGTCCTTAAAATGGTGTTTAAAAAAATTAAAATTGCTTTTATTCTAGCCGAAATAAAACAAATGAGACTTTCTCCAGAAGAAAAAATATTATCAGACACACTGTGAAAATGTCCTTGCTCTGTTAAACATCATTTGGGAATTATTTAAAAAAGAAAAAAATATTCACTGGGTGCTTATAATTCTGACTTAGCCCAACATCCTCATCATGAATGAACCTAAAAAGGCAGATATGTTTTTATTTATACATGCCCAATCTTCAGGTCTTAGATTTCTACTCACTACAGTACTGCTCTGTTAGATGTTCATTCATTCATTTTCTTGTCGGCTTAGTCCCTTTATTAATCCGGGATCGCCACAGCGGAATGAACCGCCAACGTATCCAGCTAGTTTTTATGCAGCGGATACCCATCTCTAGGAAACATCCACACACACATTCACACACACACTCATACACTACGGACAATTTAGCTTACCCAATTCACCTGTACCGCATGTGTCTGGACTGTGGGGGAAACCGGAGCACCTGGAGAAAACCCACGCGAAGGTAGAGACAACATGCAAACTCCACACAAAAACGACAACTGAGCCGAGATTCGAACCAGCGACCCAGCGACCTTCTTGCTGTAAGGCGACAGCACTACCTACTGTGCCACTGCCTCGCCCGCTCTGTTAGATGTGTTATTATTTAATATTTTTGTATCATTTATTTTACTGAATTAGGTAATTTTATGCATACTTTAATTTACTGTGTTAATTTACTCACTCACATTCCTTTGGCATATTCCTTGCTTTATCAGGGGTGCAACCTTGCCAACCACTTAGCCAACCTGCCGCCTAATGTCTTCATTTCATTATTTGTATTTATTTTCTATGTATTATTATTATTTAAGTTTAATTGTTAAATTTGTCACAATATCAGTCCTTTTTGTAGTACGATATATTACACAACAATTTATTACTGCGTTGTTTTGTGTTACGTGTGTTTGATTTGATTTCTAGATTGGGGGTGTGCCTTCAGCGCACATGATGCTGGTCAGCGCCCTTATTTAAACCCCGGCAGAGAGTTTGTTGGGGCCGTTGTCCATTCACTTTGCAGTTGGCCAGAGCTGTGCTCCAATTTAGGCATTATGCTTTGTTTCGCACCCATACACTGACATTCACCGCATTCATTGACTTGCATTTCACACTGATTAAACATATTCATAGTGATATTTTGATTATATTATTTCAATCGAGTTAAATAAATCTTCTTTTTGATTACACTTCGCCGTGTCGTCTCCCTCACTATGTTACATCCCTGAGCCAGGTGTAACAATTACGATAAACAGTATTGTTGTCTTTTTCAAATCAATTTATGCCACTCATTATACAATGCAAGTATGAACATAATAGCACCATAACTATTAGCCCTCCTTTGATTTTTTTTTCTTTTTTTAATATTTCCCAAATGATGCTTAACAGAGCAAGGAAATTTTCACAGTATGTCTGATAATACTTTCTCTTCTGAAGAAAGTCTTATTTGTTTCATTCCGGCTAGAATAAAAGCAGCTTTTAATTTTTTTAATAACAATTTTAAGGTCAAAATTATCAGCCACTTTAAGCTATGTATATTTTTTTTGATAGTCTACAGAACAAGCCATCATTATACAATAACTTGCCTAATTACCCTAACCTGCCTAGATAACTTAATTAACCTAGTTAAGCAGTTAAATCAGTTGTTAGAAATGAGTTATTAAAACTATTACGTTTAGAAATGTGTTGAAAAAAATATTTCCAATTAACAGAAATTGGGGAAAAAATAAAAAAGGGGGCGAATAATTCAGCGCGGCTAATAATTCTGACTTTAACTGAATTTTAGTAGATCACATTAGTAAGTCAACAAAACATTTTTCAGCTGCCCATCATAATAATTTTTTTTGAATATTTTTGCAGTTGTTGTTATTATTAAAAACAAAACATTTTTTAAATTCTTGACAACTATGTTTTTTTTTTAAGTGAGTGAGGGGTTGTTAAGGATTTTAACTGCTAAAATAGGGGTCTACTGAGGGGGGGGAACCACATTGATGTAAAGTTGGTTTTACATTTGCACATTCGTTTATTTTGTGTTTCATTACTACTTTGAATATTCGGTTATATTGTAAAAAGAGGACCATATATTCAATGTTTTTAAGTGTAAGAGGGAAAATTATGGGATTATGGATTCCTATATAGATTGGTTTATATATATGGATTCATATATATGGAACATTGAGCTAAAATTGGTTCTATATTGCGCATTTGGACTTTCTTCTTAATAATATAACTTCCTAAATTATACTTTGCGAATATAAAATAGGGAAAACAAATTAGCGACACACGACTGCATTAGTACAGCATTATTCACAGTCAGTTAAATATTGCTAATGGTAATTTGAAGTCATAATTACATGCAATTTCAGACTAATTATTCAAAGAAGCATGGTAAACAAAATATATAGTTGTCACTCTTAAAAAACGAAGGAATATATAAACATAAAACCAACTTCATCTCAATGCAAACCACTGCCTTAGACCCCTAGTCTTTTATTAAAAAAAACCCTGGTTTAAACCACTTTGTCTGACAAACTCACAACTAACCTTCTTTTAGCTTGGTGGTGTGCTCCTTGATCTGTTCTGCTCTTTCCATGTAACCCTTGATCTTCTCTCTGTAGTGCATCTTCTTCGCTTCATCTTTTACAGCTACACACATAAAAAAATAAAAAATCTGACTACAATTAACAGTAAACTGACAAGCAAATTGGCAATACAACCAACAGCAATCTCATAAATAAAACATCTTTTTCTTTGAATTCCAATTCAATATTTATACCATGTTTAACAAAAAAAAAAAAAAAAGAAATCACACCGAAATAACTGTAAAAAAACACAATCATAAAATAAATGAACAATACTCTCCTCTTAATCTTTACAGAAAACACATTTAAACCAATATCTCTACAACATTTTGCAATTAATTTTACAGAATAAGAATGCTGAATAATTTTAAATCATACCTCTCTGATTTTATTTGTTATACAAAAACGTCTGGAGCTCTTAAAAGTCTCATTCCAGTTGACATCTTGAAATTGTGATCTCCAAAAACAATCCAGCAAATCATTCTAAGATAATTATTATTAATAGATTTATTTCTTTCACATTTAAACCTTTCAATTTAAGACTCAGATCTAAATTTGTATTTTGAGCTATATAATTTTCTAATAATTTCATTAGCTTTATTTACCATCATATTCTCTTTGACAGGAATAAAAACATTTTTTTCTAGAAACTCTAAATAGTTAAGCACATAATCATTACTATCTGAAAGTTGCGAAACCAGCAAAATATTATTTCTAAAACAAATAATTAAAAAAAGAAATTTATTTCGGTGTGTAATCAGACTGCTGTCCCACCTTTGAGCACGTCCAGCAGCAGCTGAATGCCCTCCTGGTAGCAGACCAGCGCCTCCTGAAAGCGGGAGCAGTTGTCGAGCTGCACGGCTCTCTTCAGGACGGACACCGCGGAGCTCTCCACACCCGGCAGCAGATCCTGAGCCATGAGCCCCCGTCAACAACACAGATGATGATGACTGCTCTGCTGACAGTAATCGTTAAAGGCATACCATTAGCAGCGCCATTCAACAAATCAAAACAATCAGATTTAGAGGCGTTTGTAGTTTGAAGTTACACTAATCAATAGAAACGCATTTATTTTGTTAAAATGAATTAAAAGAATGTATCGTCGACTGTATTACACCGAGAAAACAACTTTACGAGAGAAAACATTTGCTTTGAATCAGACGCTACAGTATGTTTAGACGTTTCCTGTAGGAACTAAAGTGCGAAGTCTTCCGTGGCAATTATGTTGAAGGACCAACTTCCGTTTAGTCGCACCGCTGGTTAGTTTTGAAAAATAAAAGTAAATAGACAGTTTGGCTTTAATAATATAGTAATTAAATTATATTGTATAGTAACGGGTCATAACGTTACTTTTTAATACTTTAAGGGGCATCGTAACTGTTCGGTTGATCTGTCTGTAGGTTATGATAAATACTTTAAAATACAAAACCATAAAGACCCAAGCACTGCTTCTAGGGTGGTGCCAGAAACACAATTTGACCAAACAAATGGTTCAGTTTCTTAAAGTTCAAGTTTAAGACTTAAAGAACATTTAAGCTACTAATATTAAATGCGCATGCACGTTTTAATTTCTGAAGTTGTTAATCTTTTAAATGACATAGATATTTTTAACGGCAGGCTAGGCACAATGCATGGGCTAATACTCTGTCATGAAAGATAATATATCACTAAATATCAAACAATATATAAAAATATTATGTAGCATTTTAATTTAAGAATAAATTAATACTTAAAAAAATACACTACTCGCATAAGCTGGCAAAAGTCCTGCATATGCACAGTGTTCATGCAGACATTTTGGTATTGTAAATTCAATCAAACATTGTGCATAACTCGTTACAACACTTTTGCATAATTTTATTTCTATTTTTTTACTTTAAAATGTAGTAAATTCAACTTTTAGGTGATTACAAAGGTATTGTGTAAAATTATTTTTTATATATTGTACATGGGAAAATGTGTTTCTGTAACAGTTTTGTGAAGTGTTGTAAAATGTTAAGCAAAAAAATGTGTTCTCACACAAAAATAAACTTTTTTTTTTTTAAACATTGTTTAAAAATGTAAAATTGACACATTTTGGATATTGCAAAAAGCCTTTGATTATTCTTGAAGGAACCCATTTGACACTAGTAAGGTACAAAGTGTCTTCTCACTGTGGTACCTTCATGGATCACATTTGTTCCTTTGATGATGGTACAACATTGTATCTGCAGGTTTTTTCAAAACTAAAGGTACATTTTGGTTTCCCATGGTACAAATCGAGTACTTAAAGCTACAAACTACAATAGTACAAATTTGATTCTTTGTCTTAATTTACAATTCGGTCCCATAAAAAAGGTACTGCCCCAGTGACAAGGGTTTGTACCTTATTTGGTACAACATTGTACCATTTTTTTCTGAGAGTGTAATGTAATTTTTAACCAGTGGTCAGAGGAGGTATGTGGCACATTAAAATTCATTCAATGGTATTTTATTAACCTTCTACTGTAACCTGTACAGGCGATTCATTTCGCTGTGGCAACCCCTAAATAACAAAGAGACCAAGGCAAAAAGAAAAATGAATGTAACCTGTACGATACACTCTCAGAAATAAAGGTACACGATCTGTCACTGAGGTGGTACCTTTTCCAAAGTTACAAATTTTTACCTAAAAGGTCCAAATTAATATCTCAAGGGTACATTCTAGTACCTAAAAAGTACAAAAGTGTTCCTCTTCAAATTTGTACGTACTATTACATACTTTTGTGCTACCAATAGACCCTTTAAGTACAAATGTGTACCTTTTAAAAGCTCTTGGCTCTGCCCCCTTGTTACGTTGGGCGGGAAGTCAAACTAATTTTCATGTGAAGCAACACACCCCTAAAACAACGAGCTGTGTACACACCCCCTTAATATCACTTTTTAACACATCATAATAAAAACATCTGAACTGTGTTTTGAACTGAACCTAAACCGGCACACTCATAACAACCATAATATTAATATAAAATCATAAGGGGTAAACCATGTGCCCTTTAAAGTATTGCTGTAATATAGCACTATCTCCTATAATTACAAGTTCACCACTTTTAGTGATATTTAGCACCTTTTTAGTTACAAGTGTCAGCAATTAAATATTATAAATCTTTACAGCACAAACAGCGCTGTTTAGTTTCTAACAGGTGGAATGAAATGTTACAATTCAACCCAGTAGGCTGGATTAACACTAGAGTGAGACATTATACAATAAGATTTATGACTAAAAATAGATTTTTATTAGCTTTTCTATTATTTTTTAAACTTAATTTTATTCAACACTGAGTTTTCAGTATAATTGATGTGTGTCTCAGTGTAACAAAGCTGAATACAATGTGCAAATGTGTATCAGTTTCAACAATTGAACGCTTTCATTAGGCCACAGAGGACTGGTAAAGACATCCACACACACTCGTTCACTCATACACTACTGACACTACCTACTAAATTGTCCGTGATGTATGAGTGTGAGTGAGTGTGTATGGATGTTTCCCAGAGATGAGTTGTGGCTGGAAAGGCATTCGCTGCGTAAAAACATATGCTGGATAAGTTGGCAGTTCATTTAGCTGTGGCAACCCTGGATAAATAAAGGGACTAAGCCGAAAAGAAAATGAATGAATAAACCAACCATTCCCACCTGGCTTTTTTTGATCACTGTAGGTATACCTGTATAACACCTTTAACACAAATTTCTAATCAGCCAATCATATGGCTGCAACTCAATACATTTAGGCATGTAGACATGGTCAAGATGATCTGCTGCAGTTCACACTGAGCTTCAGGGGTGCATTTCCCAAACAAAGACGTAACTGGTGGCTGAACTACCATCGTACGATGCATCATTTGGGAAAAGAACTATGTAGGGAGGAGTGTTTCCCAAAACCCCTAGTTTCTCTGTGGCAGATCCATGGCTTGAACTATGTTAGTTATAACTTAAAATAATGCTCTAAACTGGGTGGAGTAACAACTTCTTTAGAGAAAAACCCATAATTTCTTTGTGCAAATCATATTGTTTTATACGCACATTCATTTAAAAATAAAATCCAATATTAGATATGGGAAAAATCATGCACTCGCTTTCCATATTAACTGAAATATATGTAAATGCCACATATAGAGCCTGTGTTTCCTGTACTAATATTATTAAGAAGTTGAACATTACATACTGTATTGTTATCACTTACAAAAGTTAACACATATTGTATTATCATGTAAATCATATAAATAAATAAATAATTAGGCTATTTATTATAAAATGAAGTTTAATATTTATTATTCATTAGAATTGAAAAAATATACTTTAATAATTATCATGATGATGATAATGATGATAATATTATTATGAATAATAATTATTATTAATATTATTATTAAAATATTGTTTATTTATTTATTTTAAAGTCTACTTTTACTAAATGACTCTTGTAAACCACTGCAGAAAGTTCTATCCAGCAGGCCCATGTCATATACACTACAAATACTTGATAAATAACCCACTATAAATAAAAAAATTTACGTATGCTTTTTGTTTTCACAAGCTTTGGAGACGTTACATAATTTCCAATTTTAAATAAATAAAGAAGATCGCTAGAACTGAACTGTAAAAATAGTTTGAAAGCAAATTATACCTAAGAGAGATGACCTTAATGTTTTTTATTTTTAATAATTCCAATTTTGAATGTTAGAATGTTCTAAAAGAATAGGGCATAGGGGGGATAATTGGGAATAGAACACAACCAGGAACTATGTTTCTAACTACAGCTCCAGAGGTGTAGTTGTGAGTGCTCAAGTTTGCGATGCAGTTTGCGAATGTTCGTTGGAGCGACAGATTTGGGGAACGACAAATCAACAAACTACGTTTGTACCGACGGAATTTGCGACCTTGGTTTTGGGAAACGCACCCCAGAATGGGGAAGAAAGGTGATTTAAGTGACTTTGAACATGGCATGGTTGTTGGTGCCAAACGGCCTGGTCTGAGTATTTCAGAAACTGCTGATCTACTAGGATTTTCACTCACAGCCTTCACAGCTTCTGTTACTTTTCATGCTGATCAGCTGACTGCTTACCTTCTTGTGGACGGCTTTTCTGCTGTTAGTAGCTTGCCCAGTGGCTTGCCATGTACAACAGTTGACCCGACGACAGGGTACGAGTTCGACAAGAAACAGTTCCAGAAAGCAGGTAAAACAAAAGGCAAAAAAAATAATAAACAAGGGAATAACCAGGTGAGAACATGGTATGTACTGAAAATGTGGTTTAAATCAAGTGGCCAAGAGGCTTTTCTTTTTCTGGATTGCTTTTGAAAACACTGATGGTTGGGTTTAGGGAAGGTCCTGGGTGAGTTAATCGGTGCTTTTGTAAACACTGTCGGTTTGGTTTAGGGAAGGTGGTTGGTGGGTTATTCTGTGCTTTTGAAAACATAATCAGTTAGGTTTAGGAAGGTGGTGGGTGGGTTAATCGGTGCTTTTGAAAACACTGTCAGTTTGGTTTAGGGAAGGTGGTGGGTGGGTTAATCTGTGCTTTTGAAAACACTCGGTTGGGTTTAGGGAAGGTGATGGGTGGGTTAATCTGTGCTTTTGAAAACACTGTCGGTTTGGTTTAGGGAAGGTGGTGGGTGGGTTTATCTGTGCTTTTGAAAACACAGATGGTTGTCTTTAGGGAAGGTGGTGGGTGGGTTAATCGGTGCATTTGAAAACAATATATATGTTAGGTTTAGGGAAGGTGCTGGGTGAGTTAATCTGTGCTTTTGAAAACACTGTCAGTTTGGTTTAGGGAAGGCGGTGGGTGGGTTAATGTGTCCTTTTGAAAACACTGATGGTTGGGTTTAGGGAAGGCGGTGGGTGGGTTAATCTGTGCTTTTGAAAACACTGATGGTTGGGTTTAGGGAAGGCGGTGGGTGGGTTAATCTGTCCTTTTGAAAACACT